CGCCCGTTCAGCGTGTAGGCAGCGGGGGGGAGTCACCCGTGTCCTCCACCCAGCTCTCCTCAAGCCCTTCACCTCCGCAAGATGGAGACCGAGACGGGGAGGCACCGCTCTTGTCAGCGCTGTGAGGAGTCTGGAGGACTGCGTTTCTAAAACCAGCTTTTCTTTCTCCACCCGTGTCCCCCCGCCCAGGTGCGCGATACCACGCCATGGAGGAGCGCGCCAACCTCATGAACATGATGAAGCTCAGTATCAAAACCCTCATCCAGTCGGCCCTGAGCCTAGGCCGGACCCTGGACTCTGACTTCCCTCCCTTGCAGCAGTTCTTCGTGGTGCTGGAGCACTGCCTCAAGCACGGGCTGAAAGGTGGGCGCCCGCTCCCCTGCCGCTGGCCCAGCTGCCACGCTGAGGAGGAGCAGATAAATGAGTCTGTGTCGTGTCTCGCTGTGCCACTTTGACTTCTGTGTGGCGTTAATATTAATTGCATACAGCTTATGATGCTAATCAATATTACAGCTATAACTATGTGGTTACCTTCTCATATACCCTGTATTTTGTGCCTGCTAAACTGTCAAGGTATTTTTAATGCCCTCTTTTCATTGATGTATTAGGAGCTGGTAAGACAAAGTAAAGAGCAGGCTAAAATCTGTAATTCTGGAGTTGGAAGCCTGTCACTTATCCTCACAAACTTCTCTGTATACTCCCTTTAGTGAAGAAGACTTTTATTGGACAGAACAAATCCTTTTTTGGTCCTTTGGAGCTAGTGGAAAAACTTTGTCCTGAAGCATCAGACATAGCAACTAGTGTTAAAAATCTCCCGGAGTTGAAGTAAGTTGATTGTTGGGGGTGATGCATTTCACTTATACTGCTGGGAAAAAGAATCCTTCATGTAGTCTCTCGCCTTCCTTAATGAGATCTTGTTCCCAAAGAAAAAATAGGGTATGTAGGAGTCATTGACTTCTCCAAGAGATAAGGAGGATATCTCAAAATACGCAGGGCTTCTGATTCAAACAATGCTGTCGGATTAAAAACAGCATTTAGAAACTTTTATAACATCACTAAAAATAAGCCTAAAGTCTTCACAGGTATTTTCTTTCCTCCTCTTTCCCTTGCTTTTATGACTTTGTGTCATTTTGTGCATGTGCTAATAGTATTCCATTTGGGTAATTCAGGATGATGGGAAGAGACTAGTTTTAATGCTAGGATGCATCAATAGTTGGGTTATGGTGGTAATTGGAAATTTGTATGTCTTTCCAAGTTAGGAAGACTGCTGAAGCAATGGGATATACTTAAATGCTTCTGTGTTCTGGACACAACACTTCATTTCCCCAGGGATTTTTTTTTTTTTTTTTTTTTTTTTTGGGTTTTTAGTAAATAACAACTTTCATCTCCCTTTGTAAAGGGAGAATTTTGAATTGCACAAATCTAATTTAAAAAAATGCCTTCTTTTTTCCAAAACATGCAACTTTTCATTTTAGGACTGCTGTGGGAAGAGGAAGGGCTTGGCTTTATCTAGCACTCATGCAAAAGAAACTGGCAGATTATCTCAAAGTGCTCTTGGACCATAAGCATCTATTAAGGTAACAGTGCAGACGTACATAGATTGTATTCACTGAATCACTGAAACCTTACATTGCTGTAACCTGGTCAATTAATGACCTCTTAACTTTAAGCTTACTCTTGCACTCTGCAGGGGAGCAAGTTGTTCATTGTTTTTGCAGTGAGCCTACAGAGGAACAAGTAGAGTATTTTCTGTGAGTTCTGCGTCTTCTGCCTTGTGCAATAAATTAGCGAGAAGGCGCTGATCAGCTGAGCTTTATAAGGGCTACATTACTGTTTATATGATTTCAGTGATGGATATACCATTATAATTGTTTGATGTGCAGTGATGCCTTATAATATTTCTTCTAGTGAATTTTATGAACCTGATGCGTTGATGATGGAGGAGGAAGGAGCAGTCATTGTGGGTCTGCTAGTTGGACTGAATGTTATTGATGCAAACCTTTGCTTGAAAGGAGAAGACTTGGACTCCCAGGTGAAAATTAAAGCTTAAGTAGGATCAGTCGGTATAAGATTCTAGTAGAATTAAGCACATCCATAAATACTTTACTGAGACGGGTCCAGAATTCTGTTGAGAATGTCCTGCGTTGAAGCTTGTCATCTTTTCTGCGTTGAATCAAAAAAAAAAAAAGTACATAAGTGTCCATCTCTTTAAGTAGCAGTTTATGGAAATGCTGTCAAAACTAATATCTGCTAGGAAACTGAGCACACTGAATATGGTTATTGTGATGCTTTTATGACAAACACTAGCTTGCATGTTTGCTTCAGCTGGGAAGAATATAGGTGTTATCTGTCTCTCTAAACTTGAACTTCAGATTTTTAGCTTTTTCCAAATATAAAGTAATGCCTGCTGTTATGCAGAATTGCACTGCAAAGGTGTGTTAATATCTTAAATATATTTTTCAGGTTGGAGTGATTGATTTTTCCTTGTACCTTAAGGAAACACAGGATAGTGATGGCAAACAGTATGTATGGTGAATTAGTGATTCTAAATTGTTACGGTTTTTGTAGAACAAACCTGTCAGTCTGTGGGAGCACATGAGTGCGAGAGATCTCAAACTCTTTTAATCATCCAAAAAAGAGAATCCAAAATAGATTTTGTTAGCTAAACAAAAGTGCTAACTTTCAAAGGTTGAGCACACAGTAGTTTTAACAACAATACAGCATAGAGAGTTTGTGTCTTGAGCTGGGACCGAATTAAAAGCACCCCAGATTTTAGGTTGTGTTTCTTACTGGGTTTTAGGAGACATGATCTGCCAGGTCACCCGCTACTAAATCACTGCTTTGTTTCTAAACACTTGTTTCAGAAATGCTCTCAATTAAGTAGCTGTCTTTGTAGGAGAGATCAGTTATGGAGCAGAAAAAAGTACTTTTAGGTGAAACGTTAGGTGAATTAGAGACTGCAACTGTGTGCATCACTGTATCTAGAAGACCTGTAGTGAATGGAGGAGACTTCATAGTTTGTGTGCTTCCTGCACTTCAGAGCACTTTACTGTTTAGCAGCCAAACAGCTGCTTCATCTCCCTAGTGCTTCTGGTCTAGCTCAGGCACAAGTATTCTTATAAGAAAAGGAGAAAAGGTTTCAGCTCAGTTTGCAAGTAGTACAAACTAACACTTTAGAATGAAGGATTTTCTTCTCAATCAATAAGTTCTCACTTTTACAACTAGAGATGGAGGGATTACAGCTGTCCTTGACCAAAAGCATTATGTGGAAGAACTTAACCGACATCTAAGGTGGGATTTTCATCTATTCTAATGTACAAATACTTGTCCTATTTAGCTTGTCCAGTATGACTTTGAATGTCTCTGCTGTCAGTCTTGTAGATTTTTGTCTGATATTGAAATGCCTTTTCTGATTATTTCCCAAAATCATAGTTTAATTTTGTAGTCTTACTCTTCTAATGGCACATGCAATGCAGAAAACAAGTTTGAGTGATAATCATTGACCTTTTTGAGACTTATTAGTGATTAATAAAAGATTTTGGAGCTACTTTTTCAAGAGAAAACTATTACAAGTGCATCTGGAAATTCATTCTTTAGAGGAAGAGTCTCTGTTCTTCTCCCAAAAGCTGCTCAGTGGGAGGAGCAGGCCTCACGTACCCTCTTGAACATCAGAGAGGTATTAAGACTGCAAAAGCTAAGCCAGAACAGGGCTGCCAACTAATACAGTCGGTGGCCAACCGTAGGCAAATGCATGGTCCTCTCGGAGCTTAAGAGGGACAATTGTACTTCTTCTGAGTTTTTTGCCAGCTTACAAAAGTATTTCATTGTTAACAAATGCAAGGTGGTAAAAGTATGGTTGAGGCTAGGAATAAATGAACACTGGCACTTCTTTTATTGTTTTTATACATCTCTTTTCCTTGCTGCAGTTGCACAGTTGCAGATCTTCAGAACAAAATAGACTGTTTAGAGAAGACCAATTCAAAACTCCAGGAAGAGGTTTGTGTCTGGTCTGTTAAATATTTCTCATAGCTCTTTTCCATCAGAGGCAAAACCCCCTAAGAATATACGTTAGACCTAATATTTGAATTCATACTAAGGAAGTGTGGGGGACTGGTAGCACCGGCATGAGTTGGGACATGGGGAAAGCTCTGTGGAAAGCTTCTGCATTATGTTAGTTGCTAAAATGCTTTTGGGCACCTATTTGTTAGACAGGTCTCCTTAATCAAGTTTTTTATCTTGCAATGGTGTCTCCACCCAAAAGTAATCATATGACTATAATGAACATTTGTCCCTCTTCCTTCTGCACATACACGTGCGTATGTATGTCATGTGATTTAAACAGAACTTGGAAAAAGAGAAGGAAACGAATCATACTTCCATTAGGAAATCTTTCCTAGCTGGGAACTGAAATAGAATCCAGCAGCATGCATGCTAATGGTTGCTTTGGTTTCTGTTGTGGTGGTGGTGTTTTAGTGTTTATATATATTATTATATATATGAGTTCAGAGTGTATCTGTGTAGTCCAATTTCCAATACTTTTTGGAGTATCTCCACTTGAAAATGCCCTAAGGTTCCACCAGTGAATGTCAACCCTGACTTGCTGTATGACTTCTAGTTCATACCAGAATGAATACCACAGATCACAGATGGGTGGTGGATGTTAGCCTTTTACACTAGGATGCATTTCTTCGCACGGTTAATATTTAAAAATGATTGATGAGGGCGTGAAGTAGAAGTCAAATGAACAAATGTTGGTGGGCGTATTAATTTTGGCTGTACAGTGAGTACGGCTGCAAAAGGGTCAGGCAGCTTCTGAGGAGAATGAGAGGGACGAAAAGGGAAGTGAGCAGCACACCTGCTACAAAGGCTGAGCTACTAACTTTAGAATTCCTCCAGATGTTGTGTGCTTGTACAGTGTTTAAATATAGATATGTTCTCTTTGTAAACAGCTTGCAGCAGCAACCGACCGAATTGGATCACTTCAGGAAGAGCAGCAGCAGTTAAAACAACAAAATGAATTAATTCGTGAACGGAGTGAAAAAAGCGTAGAGGTGGGACACCTATTTAAAGGTGATGAGGATCCTTAAAATAAGTGATCTCTTTTGATCAGCTGTAGTTAGTGCTCTCAAAAGCACTTTGAACTGGAATGCTAAGCACAGTTTAGCATGCTACTGTGTAGATCACTGCTTTTGTGTATAGTATGCATAGGCGTTAGATTTTACTGCTCTTTCCTATGCACTTAAATGTATACTTGCAGAAGGGAGAAAGCATTAGAAGTATTAGAATGGTTTCTTTTTATTTTTACTTGATTCTTTGAAATTTCAGCTTATTAACATTTGCTGGCTTATTAATTGTAAAATAGGATTTTACTTGAAATAGCACGTAGAAATATTGTGTTACACACAAGAACTGAAGGCATACTTTAAATACATAGCTTTGTGATCTTATGTGGCTTTTTTGCTGATGTTTCTTGTAGGTAACAAAAGAGGATACAAAAGTAGAATTGGATACTTACAAGCAGTCACGCCAGGGTCTTGATGAAATGTACAGTGATGTTTGGAAGCAGTTGAAAGAAGAAAAAAAAATTAGGCTGGTAAGGAAACTAACTATAGAAAGTAAAATGAAAGATACAGGGTGCTGTGTACTTTAAGGTAGCGTTACAAATACAAGACGTATGCTGTGCACTTTTTGCAGCTATTCAGAATTCATAAAGGAATTGCAAGCAAGATGCTGGACATTGGTCGTTAGCAGTGTCTGTAAAGAACTGGAAATCGGGGCTTTTGGAATGCTCAAAATAAAAGGTTTTCCCTTGTTTAAGAGCCTACCAGCATTATTATAGCAGAGACCAAGATCAAAACCCAAAGAGAGGCAACTGTCTTTATGGACGAAAATATGGTATATGCACAGCAGTGCACAGTGAACTGCTAATTCGTGACTGGTGAAGAGGGTGCCCAGGCTTGCTGAAGCCTATGGCTCTAAGTCAGCCCAACTCCAGCTGCCAGGAGAAATGCCACCTTTGGCAGGCTGCTAAGTTACACCCTGAGCTCTACACTTCATGCCAGCAGATCTGCACCCTTGCCCTGATCTGGAGAGCTGAAGCAGTATTTTGGTCTTACTAACTTAATGTATGATTTGAGACCTGACTCTTCTGTGAAGTCATAGTTCAGTATTATCTCAGAGTAATACCTGGTTTGTGTATGGGGTTATATGGGTTTTGGAAATGCTTATCCCTGACATAGGACTACGTAGCAGTAACTAGGAAATCTCTTTGTAAGGAACTAGAGAAAGAGTTGGAGCTACAAATTGGAATGAAAACAGAAATGGAAATTGCCATGAAACTTCTGGAAAAAGATACTCATGAAAAACAAGACACTTTAGTTGCACTTCGCCAACAGTTAGAAGAAGTGAAGGCTATTAACTTGCAGATGTTTCACAAATCTCAGGTATGTACCTACTGGAGAATAGAAAGAACAGCTGTAGTGGTGGTCTTGTACACATTAATTGTGCACCGGGGATGCATCTGCACTTATATGCATCCGAAATAATACTTAGATGCAACACTTTTCTTAAGAATATCTATTTTAAAACTGTTTAATTTTTTTAGTATGCTTCACTGATGTTATTATACGGGGTATGTTTGGAAAGAAAGGGAGTTTCCTCGAGTATGCTGCGTAGTCTGCCATAGGATCGTGCAGCAAACGCTGAGACAAATGGAGAGCTCTCGCAGGGGAGGTGTTCACAAGGGTCCTCTGTTCCAACCACTGAATGATTAGTCTGTAAAAAAAAATTACTTACTGCAGCCAAGAACTGTCTTGCTTCTTCCCATCTGTGTTGTCTTGCCTTTCACATGCGCCACATTTGACGCTGTTTACCATAGAAACCAACAACAAGCCTCTCTAAACCAATAGAAAACTATCGGCTATTTTTGTCTATCTCTGTAGCCTGTACCCAAATGGTCAGCTGAGTGCTGTAGCCAGTGGAAGGGCAACACAGGGTTTGGGGAGGGAGGAACTCTGTGGTCAGGCTGGCCGCTGGAGCTACCAAAAAGTTGTTGGATTGGTTTAGATATTTTGTTATACTCCCTTTAGCGTAAGACCTGGCTCTGCAGATCCAAGATGGTTATAGAGAAGTAAAATGAAAAACCTTTTGCTTTCTGAGCCTGTCTCCCTTCCTCAGTCTCTTCCTTACCCTGGCAGTTTTTAGAGTTTACTTTCCCCATCCTTTGTGTCATATGTATTGCAGGGGTTGGGGAATGTTTTTGCAGGGTTTTTTGTTGTTGTTTGGATGGGTTGTGGTGTTTTGTCTTGGGTTTTTTTTTCAATTGGACAAAAAATACACTGATAGGCATTTCTACAAGGAAGTGGTGGAGTAGTAGCGTTCACACAAAATATACAGAGCTTGTCTCCGTTAACGACATAGGAGTTTAACTAGACTGCCCCTCCCATATATGGTGCCAGAAATCCAGAGGGGATTTCTCTCAATTTTTATGGACTGTTTCCTGACACCCGTTCAGGCTTTATCCAGGCCTTTGCCTCCTTCACAGATGCATGGAAACTTGCAAGGCAGTGGCCAGTGAAGCCCCAGTGCTGAGGTATGCCTTTGCTTTCAAAAGCAGTACTTACTTTGTATTTTTTTTTTTACTTCCTGGTTCCATGCCCGCTGACTGCAGTTGTTACATTCAAATCATAATTGATATTCTTATCCTGTCAGTTTAATCTGATAGTTTCTTTCTTCAAGCTCGTTTCTAAAGAGAAGATTTTTGGCTTGTAGCTGATCTCATAGGTCAAAACATAGTACAGTTAAGCTTTTTTCTGAGCTCTTAACAAAACAAGTTGAGGAGTCTCTGCTCTGGCATTATCAGTATTTTGTTCGTACATTCCGGTTAGACCCAGGCACGGCCTGTAACAAGCTAAACATTCTTTATCTAGTGGCAGACTTTCATTAAACATGAACAGTTTGTGCTTTAGAAAGCTAAAGTGTATTACCTGGAGTATTTATTCATTTATTCCTACAGAATGCAGAGTGTTCATTACAACAGAAAACAGAAGCAATATCCTCTTTTGAAGGAAAAGCAAATGAGATGATGTCCTCTATGAAACAAATGGAAGAGAGGTAATAATTACAAGCTCAAAAAGTCAACACTGAAATCAGTAGAAAGTTTCCCACTGAAACATTTTTAGGATGACCTTTCATACACCTCCTGCAGACACTCGGGCATGTGTGCCAGCATGATGTTCTTTTTCCTTTCTCCTCCTTATCGCCCTCTGGGCTTGCCTGTTCTCTTTTCCCAGGCAAACATGCCCATAATTGACCCATTCAAAAACCATAGCTCTTCCATAGACAGGCTGTTTAAAAACATGTTGACTTTAGCTTAAGAACAAGTATGACTCTCACTTTGGGGTTTTTTTTTCCAGAAACAGTTGCTTTCAAAGTAATTTTTTTCTCCACTAGCATTTTCAGTTCAAGCTTTTATAAAGATCTGTATGGCAAATCTGAAAGAATAAAACGAGAGGGTGTAGGCAAGGAGTATGTGAATTGACAACAAATGTACACGTTCCTTACTTCGTAGATTGCAGCATGCAGAAAAGGCAAGGCAGGCCGCGGAAGAAAGATGCAACAAGATGAAGCAAGAGCTTGCTGGCAGGCTTGACACTTGTCGGCAGCAGATGTCCCAGCTGGATAGCAAATGGTATTTAATCTGATTGGGTTTTTTTTCCTTCCCTACTGCCATTTCTTTAAGAAGTGCTTTCTGCTCCTTTTGTGCCAGGACCTAAAGAGGGGTAGGTTTGAATTAGATTGGGTTCAGCAAGTATTGACAGAAGTACGCAAGGTCTAGCAAAGCATCCAATTTAGAGCACAGAGTGCCAGCAGAAATCTGGTCATTCTGACTAGGAATGGAGCTTTCGATTGCTTTTCCACTAAATCAGGAGACAGATATGGTCATGCTTCTAGGCTGAGCATAGAAGTGACTGTCATCCAAATGGATTGGGGTTTTTGGAGAGGTTTGGGGGGCATCCTGATGTTGTTAGGGAATGTTAATCCTCTAAAGATTCCTAATACCTCCAGAAAATGGTTCTTTCACTGTTCAGACTTCAGAGTAGAGTGTCATTTTTAAACATGGCTGTTTAAACACAAGGTAGTCAAATTGACAGGTAGTCAAATATGTCCTTGTGGGGATTGGTTTTGGTGTTTTGGTTTTGGGCTGGTTTTTTTTTTTTTCCTTCTAGCCATTCATTGCTGCTTGTTTTCTGTGACCTGAAAATGCTAATATAGTTTTTGATGTCTGCTGCCATAACATCCCCGTTCTTTCCTTTCCCAGAACACCACTCTAGTTTTTGCCCTCTTTTGGACAAGGTTTCTTCTTCTCATACTGTTGCTATCCTTAAGTGCTATAGGATATTTTTCTGCTATGGGGTTTCTTAGAATGAATTATTTTAAATAGCTCAACTCTGGAAAAGGAGTTAAAATCTGAAAAGGAACAGAGACAAACTTTGCAAAGAGAACTACACCAAGAGAAGGACGCTACCACTCTGCTTAAAACAGAATTGCAACAAATGGAAGGACTGAAAAAGGTATGCACAGTACAAACACGCCCAGTGTCCCGGATTAAAGCTGACTCAGAACCAGTGCAATGTTTGCATCTGTAGTAGAGTAATTTCTTCTGTGCCACTCTCCTCTGAGTGGTTTCAAAAGCTTGGCTGACAGTGCAAGTCTGCACATGAAATGCCAAGAGAAGGAACTTGGAGCAGTAATAGGGCTCAGGCAATGAAAACAGCTTAGCTAGAGGTGGCTGAGGAGGTTTCTGTCTGCCCTGCCTCAGCTGCACAAGTGTCCGAGCCGTCCATCAGTCAGCAGCTGAAGCTGAGGTGGGAGAGCTGGGGACAGAAAGCTCCTGAGCTGTCCCATGGTGGGATACCCCTGCTCAGGCAGGAAGTGGCAAGTTCGGAGCTTTCACTGACTGCGTGAAGTCCTTCACCTGCTCTGTAATAAAATAAGAACCCGTTTTCAAGCATTCAAAACAACTGAATGCGATGTATTTTTTAAGCACAATCATTCTTATTAATCTAAAGAGAATTTGCTCCTATGTATTGAGCAGTTTAGGTTTTGAAGGCACAATTGTACACCAGTATCTGTCTATACGCTCGTGTGTGGCCACAGGACTGCTGCATTCTAGCTATGTTCAAGGATGTTTAAAGCCTGAAAATCTTCCTCTCTTTCTGGTAAATATGGTTAAATGATTTCGTTGTTTGTGCTCCACAAGAACCCGTGGGTAGTTCACTCGTGTAATTCTAAAAATCAAGCCTTAGAAATAGGTAGCTTTCTAAAGGAGCTTGTTCTTGTGAACTGCTTGGCTAGCTTGGATAGACTGTCTGATCTAGGTTCCAGGTCAAACCTAGCACACAAAAAACTTGATTTTGTGCTTAATTTTATAGGAACTGAGAAAACTGCAAGATGAGAAGCAGCAGTTAGAGAAAGTCTGTGAGGAGCAGGAGCAAGCACTTCAAGAAATGGGGCTTCATCTCAGCCAGTAAGTTCTAGGAACTGAACTCCTGAAGTGTCGTAATGTGGAGGATGGAGTATCAAACCAATACAAATCATTTTAAAACGCATCCAGTTATAAAAATCAATAAACATGAGAATTTTAGGAGGCAATTACTATGCATGGGAAACTAAACAGCCGTGAAATAAAAGTGACAGAAGATCCTGGCTGAGATAGGAAACAATACAGTGAACGCTTAGTTCTTACAGTGGAACTGTGCTTTTCCCACATTCTTCCAAATATCCTGAAAAGGGGGCAAACCCCCAGAGTGCCAAAGCTTCCTGGTGATCCTGAGCAGTTCAGAGTTGTAACAGGGAGCTGACGGAAGGATTAGAGTTCAGATTCAGTGGCTGGACACAGGAATGGCAGGCAGAATTGAACACAACTACATGTCAAGTCATGCAGAGGGCATTTTTTTTTTTTTCCAGATCAAAGTTGAAGATGGAAGATATAAAAGAAGTAAATAAAGCGCTAAAGGTACTCTGCATCTCATGGGTATTTTGACCAAGCATATGCATTTCATTTAACACCTTCAAATTTTACCACGGTTATCCTACTTTAAAAGATGGCTTTTGAAAAATACCAACAACATTGGTAAACTGCCTTTGAATTTTATTTTCTAAATCTATTTGGATCTACAGTGAGGTTTTCCTTCCAATTTTCTAGGGTCATACCTGGCTGAAGGATGATGAAGCAACACACTGCAAGCAATGTGAAAAGGAATTCTCTATCTCAAGAAGGAAGGTAGTGGTGTTCAATGGATTTTTTTTTTTTTTAATCTTTTTTCTGTGAGAAAACAAAAATTGCACTGTTGTATAGTTTGCTAGGGAAGACTGACACTGCTTCAATTCCAGATCTTGTTGGCGTGGTAACTACATAAGGAAGTTATTTGGTATTTCTCATCCTAAAAATAATGTTCTTCTGCTTGGGCCCTTTCCTTGGTAGGGAGCTGTTGTGGGCTGTGCTCTCGTGATGTGGTTCACGTGCCAGAGCGCTGCGAAATGGCGGCAGAGCGGCTCCTCCGGCCCCTGGCCAGGCCTGCTCCGCCTGTGCGCC